TGGTTTATCAATTTTGTTGATCTTTTCAAAGAACCAGCTTTTGGACTTGTTAACTCTTCCAGTTGTTTTTCTGTTCTCTATTTCATTTAATTCTGCTCTAATTCTTATTATTTCCTTCCTTCTGGGACCTGTAGGCTTCTGTTGCTGCTCTCTTTCTACTTGTTCCAGTTGTAGGGTTAGTGCTTTGATTATGAGCCTTTCTTCTTTTTGGATGTGTGCATGTATTCCTGTAAACTGACCTGAGCACTGCTTTTGCTGTGTCCCAAAGGTTCCGGTAGGATGTGTTTTCATTCTCATTTGATTCTATGGATTTCTTTATTCCATCCTTAATTTCTTCTATAAACCAGTAGTTTTTGAGCAAGGTGTTGTTCAGTTTTCCATGTGTTTGATTTTTTTTTCTTTCCTTTTTCTGTTGTTGATTTCCATTTTTATGGCTTTATGGTCAGAAAAGATGCTTTGTAGTATTTCAATGTTTTGGATTTTGTTAAGGCTTGCTTTACGGCCTAATATGTGGTCTGTTCTGGAGAATGTTCCATGTGCGTTGGAAAAGAAAGTATACTTTGACTGCTGTTGGGTGCAGAGTTCAGTATATGTCTGTAAGATCAAGTTGGTTGATTGTAGCATTTAGCTGTTCTATGTTTTTGTTGAGCTTCTTTCTGGATGTTCTGTCCTTCACTGAAAGTGGCATGTGGAAGTCTCCTACTACTGTTGTGGAGCTGTAGCATTTAGCTGTTCTATGTCTTTGTTGAGCTTCTTTCTGGATGTTCTGTCCTTCACTGAAAGTGGTGTGTTGAAGTCTCCTGCTACTATTGTGGAGCTGTCTATCTCTCTGTTCAGAGCTGTTAGAGTTTGTTTTATATATGTTGGAGCCCTGTTGTTGGGTGCGTAAATTTTTATTATAGTTATGTCCTTCTGGTGTATTCACCCTTTAATCACTATATAGTGCCCTTCCTTATCTTTTGTGTTGGATTTTACTTTAAAGTCTATTTTGTCAGAGATCAATATTGCCACTCCCGCTGTTTTTTGAGTGTTGTTTGCTTGATATATTTTTTTCCATCCTTCGAGTTTTAGCCTGTTTGTGTCTTTAAGTCTAAGGTGCGTCTCTTGTAGGCAGTATATAGATGGATCATGCTTTTTTATCCAGTCTGCCACTCTCCATCTCTTTATGGGTGTATTAAGTCCCTTTACATTCTGTGTAATTATTGATAGGTATGAGTTTAGTGCTGTCATCCTGATACCTCTTTTTGTGTGTCGTTCACAGTTTCTTTGTTCTCCTCAATTTTCTGTGCTGTGTCGTTTTTCTTTATGTATTTTTTTTTTCATCTTTTTCTTTGTTGTAGATTTTGTGTTTGCTGGGTCTTTATGTTTTTCTACCTTTTTATTTTGATTTGTAGGATTGTTGGATTCCTTTGTGGTTACCTTAATATTTACCCCTAATTTTCTAAGTTTATATTAGTCTTTTATTACTTTATATCGCCTTAACTTCCCCTCCATATAGAAAATCAATGTCTCTATTTTTTAAGTTCCTCTTTTTTTGTTTTAATATTATCCTCTTTTTTTTTTTAACATATTGATATTTTTCCCTATTTTCAATGTTTTAGCTTTGATGTAATTTTGATTTCTGTTATCTGAGTCAGTATCTGGTTGCTCTGTCCTGTGTTCTAGTCTCGCATTGTTAGCTACTGTTATTATCCATAGGACTCCCTTTAGTATTTCTTGTAATTTTGGTTTGGTTTTTGCAAATTCCCTGAACTTCTGTTTATCTGGAAATGCCCTAATTTTGCCATCATATTTGAGAGACAGTTTTGCTGGATATATAACTCTTGGCTGACAGTTATTTTCCTTCAAGGCTTTAAATATGTCATCCCCTTGCCTTCTAGCCTGCATGGTTTCTGCTGAGTAGTCTTTGAGCTTCTTCTAATTGACTGTCCTTTGTAGATGACTTTTCTTTTATCCCTAGCCGCTCTTAAAATTCTCTCTTTATCTTTGGTTTTGATGAGTTTGATTATAATATGTCTTGGTGACTATCTTTTGGGATCTACCTTATGTGGGGTTTGATGAGCATCTTGGATAGATATCTTCTCATCTTTCATGGTATCAGGGAAGTTTTCTGTCAACACATCTTCAACAATTTTCTCTGTATTTTCTGTTATCCCCCCCATTCTGGTACTCCAATCACTCATAGGTTATTTGTCTTGATAGAGTCCCACATGACTCTTACAGTTTCTTCATTCTTTCTAATTCTTTTATCTGATTTTTCCTCAAATAAGTTGGCATCAAGAGCTTTATCTTCAGTGTCACTAGTTCTAACTTCTACTGCCTCAGTTCTGCTCCTGTGACTTTCTATTGAGTTGTCTAATTCTGAAATTTTATTGTTAATCTTCTGGATTTCTGATTGCTGTCTTTCTGTGGATTCTTGCAGCCTATTAAATTTGGCATTATGTTCTTGAATAACTTTTTGAAGTTCCTCTACTACTGTGTCTGTATGTTGCCTGGCTGTTTCTGCATTCTGTCGAATTTCCTTTCTTATTCTAGAAGAGTTCTGTATATTAATCTTTTGTATTCTGTCTCTGGTAATTCCAAGAAGTTCTCTTCCTCCAGAGAATTTATGGATTCTTTATTTTGTGAGCTTTCTGAAGCCATCATGGACTGCCTCTTTATGTGACTTGATATTGACTGTTGTCTCTGAGCCATCAATAATTTATTATAATTTTGTGTTTGCTTATTGAGATCTAGCTTCTTATTTTGTTTTGTTTTGCTATGCCCAAATAAGCTGCTCATGTGCACCAGTTTGATTTTTGACACCTTTTGATCTCTAATGTCCTGTCACCAGGTAGTTGGTTCTGTATCTAAGTATGTGCACGCTGGAGTTCGTTAAAATTTCCTATATGGGATCAGCTCGGGTGTGCAGGCAGTCCATCTCCAAGTGTGTGATACAGGCTGTCACCCCCAGTCCTAGAGAGGCATGGGTGATTGGTGCAGGCACTGGACTCTGGCTGTGGTGGGGGATCACGCGCTGAGCCAGGCAGGGGGCTGACCACTGCCCCTGAGAGTCTGAAAGAAAAGCGTTTCCCTATTCTCTAGGGTGAATAGGTAGGTGAGTTTTGCAGCCAGGCTAAGAGCACCCCACTATGTTGGCTGCAAAGACTCGAGGGCACCACTTTTCTTGATCTCCTGTAGCAGATGACTAGGCACTGTTCGAACTATCACCAGTCCTCAAGGCCCTGCTGCAGATCAATAAAACTGCCTGCTTGACGGGCAGGGCTGTTTCGAGGATCACAAATCTGCCCATTCACAGCTGAACCAGTTGAAGTTAAACGTCAGATGTTTGCCCTGTTGTACTGTGGTAGTGAGGGCTAACGCTGTTGAGATAGGTCCCCACAAGTCTATACAGGGGTGTATGGCACTCAGAGTCTGCGGACCCCTGATTTCTATGGGAGCAAAGGAGTTGTGCCGACCTTGTGTTCCTGGCCTAGTGAAGCCAGCAGCTTATTTTTTCCCTCTCCAAGGCCAGGAGAATGGGTCAGGGTACCTTTTGGGATCTGTTTCCGGCCCAGTAGACTCCAGGTGCAGAGCGGGGAGGGAAGCGGTAAAAGGAAGAGAGGTATTCCCCAAATCCGGTGGAGAGCACAGAGATAGGAGGTAAAAGGGAAAGAGGTTTTTCCCAAATCCAGTGCAGAGTGCAGAGGTAGGATTTAAAAGGGAGAGAGGTTTTTCCCAAATGGGCTTTTTTTTTTTTAACTCGCCGCAAAGGGTGCACGCATGTACTTATCCTAGTCTCTTGGGAGCTGCTCTTCACTGGTTCGGAGTGTCCAAGCAGAATCTCTGCCACTGGGTCTCTCTCGATGTGGAAACTGCTTCTTGAGCGCTCGCACGGCACGGCTGTTTGCCTTCTTCACCGCAGCCCGGTGTGGCTGTGTCTTTGCTGTGTTGCCGCTGTAGCTCTAGCGCTCCTCACCTCTTACAAGTGGTCTTCCTCTCTGGTATGACTCAGATGGATTTCTTAACCTTGCCTTGTTCAGGGCTGCCAGATGTTCACATAGAATCAAATCACTTGTTTTTCCAGGTCTTTGTTGTAAGAGGGATATAGGAAGCGTCTGACTAGTCCACCATGTTGACCACACCTCGAATAGATACAATTTAATTTAATAAATTTAACAAATAAATTATGTAGAATGCATGCAATTTATTGAATAGCAAAATGTGAGTGCACTTTGATAGATGCCTTATATCTTTATTATCTACAGTCGTGACAACTGCTTTGTGAGATAGATACTGTTTTCCCCATTTTACAAATGAGGAAAAGCTCACAGAAAGTGGCAGGGCTTAAGATAAAATCCAGGTTTGCCCATTTAAAAAGTTTTAAAATCTGGAGTTAAAACTCAGAAGATTTGCACTACTCTTTTTATTATATCACTGTGTAATCTGAATAAAAGGAATTTTTTTAATACACTGATAAAAGTGCTAAGTGCAAATCAACATCATAAATCTGGAATCCTTGAAAGTTGGCCTAAAGAGGAAGTTTTCAAGTTCATGCAATGGGTCTGCACTCTCTACAGTAAATACGTAGATATAGTTCTCCAATTTAATTCCCTTCACTTCTAACATTTATGGAATAGCATGACTGGTTATAAAATACTTTTCAGCAATAATGGAGATTTGTTATTGCTGCTTCAGCTTAATAATGAGTAAATGTTTGTATTTTTATTTGAGTTTGACAAAATGTCAACCAGTACTTTTTTAAAACCATAAATAGTTTTGGATCCTATTAGATTAAGTAAATAGGTTAGATTCGTGAATAGATTTATCTTAAGCTGCTGCTGGACTCTAGTGTACTGTGGTTCCATTCTCTTAATAAATAAGGAGAGAACAGTGTCAGTTAACACTGTCCCTGGTCTTCATTGCAATATTTTTTGTATACCCTCTGTATGCCAAACATGATTTTGGATGTTTATACCAGGCTTTCTGGTAATATCTTGGAAATAACTAGCTGTTACTCTTATTCTAATTTCTATTTATTTTGTTCATGTAGACTTAAACAGTTATATTTATTTCTTTTCAGATCTGGAAGAAGAATATATTATTTTAATTTTTCAAACTGGCCTTGATCATCAGGCAAATATGGTATTTGAAAGTATCATTACTGAAATTGGTATAAAGAATAATATTTCCAATTTTTTTGCAAAAATCCCCTTTGAAGAAGCCAATAGCAGACTTGTTGCCTGTACAAGAACCTATGAAGAAAGCATCAAAGGAAGTTGTGTGCAAAAAGAAAACAAAATTAAAAATGTAATTATGTTTTAAAATGTTTATAATTTTAAATAATGGGTAGCCTTAAGGAGAAATATGTTTCATTATAATACAGCTCATTTTGGTGTCAGATATTTTATTTCAATTTCAGAGTTATTTGCTTTTATATATGATTTGTAAACTGTCTTGTGTCAAAATATTAATGGGGGGTAGGTGACCTGTAACACAAATAGCGTTTGATACAGGTTTCAGAGTCATTTTGTAGTACCTCTCCACGTTCTATTCTTCAGTCTCTACTCTTTTTCTTTTATATCTGTTTTTCCTTTTCACCCCACTCCCAACATACACATACATACACTGCTACATTCTAATTAATTTTACATTGTGTGTTTGGTTTGCTGATCGTTCCCAGTGATGCTATTGGGGCTATTACAACTTATTTTAAAGGAATTTTGGTTCCTGATGTATTGTACATTTATATGTAACGTGCATACATATTTGAAAACTTGGAAAGTGGAGCGTGCATACCATTTGATCTTGGTTGTCAACATACATATCTAATTCTTGAATATTTACTCATGTAGTTAGGCAACTTTGAAGCCACCATACCAGAGGCAACAGTATTATTATGAAACTCATGGTATAATGTTAAATAATACAAGTAAAACTTAAACACTCTGAATTTGTTATATACCATAGCAACTGAACTTTGCTGGCTTAATATATTGGGAACACTTAATCTCTCACTTTGAGTACAAACTTGGAAATATGTCTGTCCGAGGCACAGTCTTGGTAAAGTTGAGCAAGGCCTGACTAGAGAAGAAGCACTCACACAGTTAGTGGGTTAGGAAAAGAGCAGAGGAAGGAAGGGGAACCATCCCCCTTATTTTTCTGATTTGGCTATAGGAGATAATGCCAGAGGAATCAAAAAAAGCAGGTTGGAGCCATGAGACAACTGAGATGGACACAAATGTCAATGGAAGGCTCTTTTCTCTAAAGATAACTTGTTTTAGTTTCGTGTAACATTAATGTTCATTGGACAGTGTTCCCTGAGCCTCTGCCTCTATGTCCCTTGGAAGTCTTAGCCATTGGATTTAGGTGGTTAAGAGCTATGGCTGCTAGCCAAAAGGTTGGCAGTCCGAATCCATTAGGCGTTCCTTGGAAACTCTATTGGGCAGTTGTGCTCTGTCCTATAGGGTCATTATGAGTCGGAATCGACTTGACGGCAGTGGGTTGGTTGGTTTGTTTTTTTTGTTTGCTTGTTTGTTTTCCATTACTATCAGAAGATAACCACTGTATCTGTTCTTTGAATTTTACTAACATAATCTAATATAGATAGTAGAGATCTTAGACAAGATACCAGAAATCCGTTGTTAATAAATTTGAAGAGTATCATTATTATAGACGCTGCATATAAAAAGTAGATTGTGGTCCCTAGGTTCTACCTGTTTCTTCTTTTTGATTGTTAAATATCATGCATACTTTTTAGATAGATATTTTTAACCTTTTTTAATAGAGAAGCATTCTTGCCTGTGTGCTTACTCTTTTTATTGAAATTTTTCCCTATTGATTTTTTTGAGTTGATCATTTAATTTCCTTTACCAGGTGTCCTTTGAATCTAAAATACAACTTCGAAACAAACAAGAATTCCAGTTTTTTGATGATGAGGAAGAAACTGGAGAGAGTCATACCATCTTCATTGGTCCTGTAGAAAAGTGAGAGCATTCCTTTTTATTTGCAATGCTCTGAGTTTCTTTGTCTGTTTTATTACATCATGTATTTATTTTTCTGTTTTGTTACAGATTAATAGTCTATCCACCACCTCCAGCTAAGGGAGGCATTTCTGTTACTAACGAGGACCTACACTGTCTGAATGAAGGGGAATTTTTAAATGATGTTATTATAGACTTTTATTTGAAGTAAGTTAATTTTCTACTAACTTCTTAGTAAATCTTCTGTTTGTTCTAGTCTATTACATATTCTTCTATATTGTGTGTCTTTGATTTTTGTAGTCAAACTGAGTTTTGAATTCCAGCACTGCCACTTATTGCATGATATCCGGAAAGTTATTTATTTAGTGTCTACTTGTGTTTCCTCATTTTTAAAACGGGAATAATAATAACCAAAAGAAACCAAGCCCACTGCCATTGTGTCAATTCTGACTCGTAGCAACCCTAAAGGACAGAGTAGAATTGCGCCATAGGCTTTCCAAGGCTATAATCTTTACAGAAGCAGACTGCCACATATTTGTTGTGGGGAGTGGCCGGTGAGTTCAAACTGCCAACCTTTGGGTTAGCAGCCGAGTCTTAACCACTGCACCACCAGGGCTCCGGAGTAATAATTGTAGTATCTAAAAGTTGTTGTGAGAATTAAATGAGATAATACATGTCAAGTGCTAGGAAAAGTGCCTGGTACTTGGGAAGTATTCATAAATGATAGCTTATTGTGTTGTGATTGTTAGTGTTTTATGCCTGTAAAAATATTATTACTACCCTAGGTTAGGCAATGATTTGTTGAGCAACTACAAAAGTATGATTTCATTTATTTCCTTCAATAAGTGTTCATCAAGCACTAGCTGTGTACCAGGTATTGTATTAGTAGAAGTTTATGGTTTATTAGGGAACACAAATATGAGATAAAGCAATAATAGAACCATTAACATGGTACAGACACAACAGAAAAAGAGAATTCTGCATTCTCTTTGGGAGCTGGAGGGTATGAGGACCAGGAAGCTTTCCTGGAAGAGCTTCCATCATTACCCAGTGTACACATGCATATATATTTATGTGTGGTGCGTTTAGTATAAATTTGTATGTTTTTACTGGTTTGTGATACAAAGTGGGTATGCATATGAAACAAAACAGAACTTACCATCAGCATGTCCAGTGCTGTCTAATGTTTTCTAGTTTATTCTAATGTAATTCATAAAACAAAAGCTGGTTGTTGAAACCTGCTAAAGTAATTTTATAGCTTACTAATGACCGCAACCCCCAATTTGAAAGCAAACCACTCTAACAAGAGTGAAAGATTTTCATCAGAGAAGTGGTATCATAATTGAATTTCCACCAGATAATTTTGAAAGGTGTGTACACTGGAAGTCTAGATGAGAGAGAATTTTAGAGGCCTAACTGGGTATTTTAATTGGAGTGGAGAGGAATTGATGTTTTAGGAGGTAGTTATTTAGGACTGAGTGAATGGAGATTAAGGAGAAAAGAAATGTGTGCCAGAGACCTGCTAAATGTTGTTACCACTGTCTTAGGTAGTGAATGCAGAAGCAAAATGGGCTTGCGTGGGAGGAAACATGAGTTCTCTATTAGATGTTTATGATACAACCAAGGAGAGAATTCCAGTAAACAGTTGACTATATTATTCTGGAGTTTAATTCTAGAGTTTCAAGTGATAGTTTAATTATGAGAACAGATGAGATTGCTTAGGTAGGGGTGTAAAATGAGAAAAAAAGCCATAAGAACAGAACCTGGAGAGTAAATTTTAAGGAACAGACAGGGAAGAGAAAGAATAGAGAGGTTCCCATGAATAATTTCTGAAGGTATTTGACAGAAAGAGAAATTCAGAGACTAATGTAATGAAATCCAAGGGGGTAAGTTTAAAGGAGGATATCTTCAGTGGTATCACTGTAGCAGAGCCAGAGAAGAGCTAAGGACAATGACCCTAAGCTAATTTGATTCTTTTGGGGTGATGGAGATGAAAGCCAGATTAATGATTTCATTAACATGCAGTGAGATTAAAAAAAAAATTTTTTTGCCACCCTCTCTCAATAATTGATAGAAAAACTAGACAGAAAATCAGCTGGCTATAGAACTCAGTAACACCATGAACCTACACTCAGCAGTTATAGAACACTCTACCCAAAAATACATATTATTTTCAAGAGCCCATAGAACATGTACTAAGATAAACCATATCCTGGAGTTAAGTAAGCCTCAGCTTACATAGAAGAACTGAAATTATTAAATAGAGTGTATTTTCTGATCACAGTGGAATCAAACTAGAAATTAATAACAGAGATACCAGGAAAATCTCCAAATACTTGGAAACTAAACAGCACACTTCATAATAATTCATGGATCAAAGAGGAAACTGTAAAGGTAGTTAAAAAAATATATTGAGCTGAATAAAAATGAAAATGCAACACATCAAAATTTGTGAGACACAGCTAAAGCAGTGCTAATAGGGAAATTTATATCACTACAAGCATACACTATAATAGAAGAAATGTCTAAAGTAATCTAAGCTCTAACCTCAAAAAACTAGAAAAAGAAAACCAAAATCAAGTAGAAGGAAGATAATAAATAAGAGCATAGATCAGTGAAATTGCTAACAGTAGAGAACATTGATGAAACAAAGAGCTGGTTATTTGAAAAGAATAAAATTGACAAACCTCTGGCAAGACAGTTGGGAAAAAAAAAAGTCTCATTTACCAATATCAAGAATAAAAAAAGGGGATATAATTATAGGCCACACAGACATCAAAAGGGTAAGAAAATACTACCAAGAACTCTACATGCCTAAATTTCTCAACTTAGATAAAATGGACTAATTATTCAAAAAGCAGAAACTACCACAACTCACCAGATGTGAGATGTATCATTTGAATAACTCTATAGCTATTAAGAAAATTGAATTCATAATTTTAGAACTCTCAAAAACAAAAACTCCAGGCCCAGATTGTTTGTTGTCGTTCAGTGGTTTCAAATCGATTCCGACTCATAGCAACCCTGTGTACAGCAGGACGAAATACTGCCTGGTCCTGCGTCATCCTCATATAATCCTTGCTGTGTTTGAGCCTATTGTTCAGCCACTTTGTTAGTCTATCACGTTGAGGGTCTTTCTCTGTTTTTTGCTGCCCCTCTGCTTTACAAAGCATGATGTCCTTCTTCAGGGACTGGTCCCTCCTGATAACGTGTCCAAAGTAGGAGATAAAGTCTTAACCATCATCGTTTCAAAGGAGCATTCTGACTGTAATTTTTTTTTTTTAATTGTTGTAGTTTAAAAGAAGTTTACATTTCAAGTTAGTTTCCCATATAGAAATTTATACATATATTGTTATGTGACCCTAATTGCTCCCCCATACTGTGGCAGCACACTCCTCCTTTCCACTTCTGATTCCCCATGTCTATTCAACCAGCTCCTAACCCTCTCTGCCTTCCCATCTCACCTCTGAACAGAAGCTGCCCGTTTAGTCTCCTGACCGTAATTCTTCCGAGACAGATTTGTTTATTCTTCTGGTAGTCAATGGCATAGTCAGCATTCTTTCCTAGCATCAAAATTCAAAGGCATTAGTTCTTCTTTGGTCTTTCTTATTCATTGTCCAGCTTTAACATGCATATGAAGTGACTGAAAATACTATGATTTGGATCAGGTGCACTTCAGTTCTCAAAGTGACACCTTTGCTTTTTAATACTTTAAAGAGGTCTTTTCCACATATTAGGCCATAAAGCAAGCCTTAACAGAATCCAGAGCATCAAAATATTACAAAGCATCTTTTCTGACTGTTAAGCCATAAAAGTAGAAATCTGTAACAGAAAAAGCAAGAAAAAAAAATCAAACACATGGAAACTAAACAACACTGTGCTTAAAAACTACTTGGGTTATAGAAGAAATTAAGGATGGAATAAAATTCATAGACTCAAATGAGAATGAAAACAAATCTTACTAGAACCTTTGGTACACAGCAAAAGGAGTGCTCACATGTCAGTTTATAGCAATAAATGCATACATCCAAAAAGAAGAAAGGGTCAAAATCAAAACATTGACCCTACAACTTGAACAGATAGAAGAAAGAGAGCAACAAAAGAAGCCCTTGGGCACCAGAAAGGAGCTAATAAGAATTAGAGCAGAATTAAATGAAGTAGAGAATAGAAAAATAATTGAAAGAGTTAACAAGACCAAAAGCTGGTTCTTTGAAAAGATCAACAAAATTGATAAACCATTGGCCAAACTGACAAAAGAAAAACAGGAGAGGAAGCAAATAACCCATATAAGAAATGAGATGGGTGATATCACAATAGATCTAACTGAAATTAAAAGAATCATAAGAGAATACTATGAAAAATTGTACTCTAACAAATTTGAAAACCTAGAGGAAATGGACAAGTTTCTAGAAACTCACTACCTACCTAAACGAACGCAAACAGAGGTAGAACAACTAAAGAAACCCATAACAAAAGAAGAGATTGAGAAGGTAATTTAAAAACTCCCCCCCCCCAAAAAAAGCCCTGGCCCAGAAGGGTTCATTGGAGAATTCTACCAAACTTTCAGAGAAGAGTTAACACCATTACTACTAAAGGTAGTACAGAGCATAGAAAATGGTAGAATACTCCCAAACTCATTCTGTGAAGCCAGCATAACCCTGATGCCAAAATCAGGTAAAGACACGACAGAAAAAGAAAATTACAGACCAGTATCCCTCATGAACATTGACGCAAAACTCCTCAACAAAATTTTAGCCAATAGAATTCAGCAACCTATCAAAAAAATAATTCATCATGATCAAGTGGGATTTATAGCAGTTATGGAGGGATGGTTCAACTTTAGATAAACAATCAATGTAATCCATCACATAAATAAAACAAAAGACAGGAACCACATGCTCCTATCAATCGATGCAGAAAAGGCATTCAACAAAGTCCAACACCCATTCATGATAAAAAGTCTCAAAAAAATAGGAATAGAAGGGAAATTCCTCAGTATAATTAAGGGCATTTATACAAAGCCAACAGCCAACATCATCCTAAATGGAGAGACTTTGAAAGCATTCCCCTTGAGAACAGGAACCAGACAAGGATGCCCTTTATCACCACTCTTATTCAACATTGTGCTGGAGGCCGTAGCCAGAGCAGTTAGGCTAGAAAAAGAAATAAAGGGCATCCAGACTGGTAAGGAAGAAGTCAGAGTATCT